GAAGAGTTGTTTTGTTTGGGTTTTCAGAATTATAAGTAAAAATGCAAGTAATTTAAACGATTAAACTTATGAATTAAAGACATTGGGCATTAGGGTATTTCAGAGATCAACGAATAATGGAAACATGAGACAAGGAATTCAATGATTAAGCACCGTTCTTGAACATGAACACATTTAGACTAATTCTCTTTCAAGACATTAATCACTAAATTTGACTACTCGATTACTAAACTTTCGCATGTAATTTCCTAGTCAAATTCGCATTATCAAACAAGTTCATTAAGTTCACAATGCGTCCTAACGTCAACTTTCGTTGGCTAGAAATATATTGCTCAATTCACATTCTTTCAGGCATTCTATCGAATACTTTTGATGCATAGAAAAACCTAGAATCTACAACAGGGTGATCAATTCTATTCTAGCATTAAGAACATGTGAATCAAAAAACCTATAGAATGAGAATTCCAAACAACAATCAATCCATCAATCCATTGAATCCCCTAATTAGAACCCTAAAACCCAATAGGAGAACTACTCACACATAGAAAAAGAGATAACAAAAATCAATGAAGAAAACATGATGAAATTGTAGAAATAACAAGATAGGGTTTAGAAATATTCTCCAAGTGTCAAGAGGATGAATTCCTTTGCCCAAAATTGTTTACAAACCAAAGAACAAAGTTTAGAACTGAAAAATATCAAGGATAATGTGTAAAGAGTCGAGCATAGGATTTTAAAACAATAGGAAACGAGCCGGGTCGGATCTGGAATCGGGTCAATTATGGGCCAAAAGTACGTCTGGGGAAAGGATCGATCGATCCGGTGGGTGGATCGATCGATCCCGGTGGGTGGATCGATCGATCCCGAGTCACTGGAAACTGCTTCTCGTCCGTCATAGGATGGGATCGATCGATCCACAAGTGGATCGATCGATCTGGATCTTCTGGTCTCCAACTCCGCAACAGCTTCAAATGCTCGGCAGATTGACCTGTCTTCACTAATTCGGGTGTAACTCTTGAATGCATCGTTAGATTTCCGTCAAACCACTTGGAAAATCAAGCTAACATCTTCATCTAACTTGTGCCAAAAATACAGAAAGATCTAACGGTGGGAAGTATTTCATCTGAGGCAAAACGTCTGACACTTCTAAACGAAACTGCATCTCCAAATGTGTGTTTATATCCCAAAACAGTTTATTTTCCTCCAAAGCAACCTAAAACCTGTAAAGACTCGATAAATGACTAAAAGACACTAAAAACACACTTTGACTCTATAAAACATATGATGTAGGAAAGAAAACAAAGATTCAAAACCGATAAAAACACAACATATCACTCGCTACAAAAGTGAGTCCAACTTCTTTCTTGAGAGATTTTTGCGATCAACCATGTTCGTCAAAATAATAGATTATAACATACATCTCCATCTTATATAGTGTAAGAATGGAAGATTTTTTTGAGATTTCGTGGCATCCTCATATATAAAATTTTTTTATTATTGTTAGAATGTTGCTAGAGAACCGAGTTTTCTAGGAAGGATAAAAAAAAAAGGGTGGATAAATTTCTACCATAAATTAGGAAATTGCTATGAAAGCTGTGGATCTTCCATAAGGTGTTTCTTTTGGGAGGCGTTACTATTACAACATATGTAATATTTTTCGTATTTTTCTTACGCATATGTAAAGTTTGTCCTACGAAAAATGATACATAAGAGGTGTTTCTAGAGGAAGCTCAAGTATGCTTGAAAGAGAAGAATGACTTTAACAGAGTGTATGAGAGGGAAGTTCTCATAAACAGCATGTCTTGGTTTTATGAAAAAAAAAAAACTCTAAAAACAAGTGTGTCTCGGGAGGGAGCACATGGAACACCTCAATAAGTGCCTCTATCTATTGCAGAAATATAAACATTGTACGCTTTTGTTATAAACTATTTTATACATGCTTCTTCTCTGTTATGGTTTGTTTGCATAAAAAGCCAAACAAGAAGTTTTCCAGAGAATAAGCATATGTTAGGCAGGATTTTAAACATGTGCAAAACATGGTATTATAGACAAGTTCATCTCTTCCGCATCATCTAATTCACATTTTAGGTTTGCATTTATTTTTGTCCATGCAAGATAAAAATCTTTTAGAAAATTATCTAAAGATGATATCATCCAACGAGTTCATTTCTTGCTAATCATGTCCACCTATGAAGTCTATAAAAAATAAGATGAAAATAGAATTAGGTATTTGCTTATTTTATTCAAGGAACAATGCAATAAAAAAATATATGTTTCTATATATTGCAATTCGACATACATGCATATGGTACTAGCTAGACGTACATTGACATTACAAAAAAACTATTTTTATGGATACGAGATGCATATCTCTAATCTTAACATACGGATCAAATGTTACACAAACATAAAGCAATTATTAGGATATGGTAATTGTAGACGTGCATCAAAATACTTAATATAGAAACTTCATTAATCCAAATGATACTAGTTTATTGTATGTCATCTATTTCACACTTTATACACACACACTACTATAAAAACTTAAAAATACATATAATTGTGAGAAGACATATATTTACGTTTCTATCACAGATTAAAGAAAAATCAAAATATACTACTACAAAAATGGTCGTATATCCTTGAATGACAAAAACTGACAAAATTAGTGTATAAAGTTTTCATTAGTTTCATCAATGTTATGAAATATTCACTCAGAAGCCGTAATATATCTTTTTGGGAATTGGTAATGTAAAAAAAATCTGTTAAGAAATTAATGTTCGATAAGGTAAAATCCACCAATAGACTCGAGAATCTTTATTCAAAAATAGAATTATAGAACATAGCATTAATACATAGAAAAGTTTCTTATCACATAATGTTAAATTTTGTTACAAGGAATCTTAGTTTTTGAATGTGTCTTCAAATCTCACATCCTCCAACAAAGATTCCAATTATGGTTTCTTGTGTTACCAAATGTGGATGATTTATATGATTTCACGAAATTTTAAATTTTGTGTTTCGTGTATAACACCAACTATAGAATATTTTTTTCAAAGAAAAGATAGTTTTAAGGATTTATATTCGTTTTAAAGGAGAACTAATGGAAGTAACATTACTAAGAAAACTATAAAAGCATAAAGTATGCATGCCTTGACATTACAAGTTAGTCGCTATTAAATATGAGATTTTTGATGTTTTAAGTATGTATCCTAAAATGAGCAAAAACTACGTAGTGCATCATATTTATCCAATCAACGCCATTCATTTGTAAATAGTTTCATATTCACGTCAATATACTATGAGATCGATCACTCAACTCAGTTTAATTTCTGATGAGTTTTGGATATGTTCTTTGAATCATAAAATAAATGATTCATGTGAACTCTCAAAGTAGGTTTTAACTAAATTATAGTAATAAAAATAGCCAATATAAAACAAGTACATAACCAAATACCAATCAAAACATGCATTTTTATAATTCGCGATTTAACTTATTTAACTAACAATTTATATGATATGATTTAAACGTGATAAACTCATATAATAAGTAACTAAAGCTGAATTAACACATAAAATATTTTATTTAAAGATTCGCATAGACCTCCATTGCGAAAACCACAATATATACCTTTATCACGATTTAAAACATACATTTCGATCATTAAAGCAAAAACGATTATCTTACTCATATAATAATCAAGATGTAGAATTATTATTTGTCTTTCTTTAGTGAATAAATTGGATATATATATATATATATATATATTCTTATGATTTTAGCCTACTCAACTACGAACAAAAATTAGTGTGAATCATTATAAACCAGTTCAGAATACATGACCTTAACATAGACTGAGTAATAATAGTCTTTCACGACTAAGTAGGGTAGACATTTGTAGAGCAGACCCAACATTTTAAGAACTAAATTGTTGGGTTAATTCATAAACATGAATATACTTGTGGCGGTACAAGATATGTAAACTACATTATATGTGTTATTACAAAATTTAGATAAGTTAGGTTACATATGCGAATACAAAATTCATCTCAATTTATGTCATTTTTTAAATTCAAACATATGTCATAAAAGAATAACAATTATAAAGCCATAGAACAATTTATAATTAAAAACTAACAAGTAAATATGGTGAAAATTTTATTAATAAAATTAAAAATGATAATCAGAGAAAACAACAAGTAAATACAACTAAATATACTTCCTAAAATATAAAATAGGAATACAGTTAATCAATTAATTGCTTTAGTTGCAAATAAAGAAAATAAGACAAGATATTAGCATAATAAAGTAATGAATTGATGGATTGACCCCAACTTTGGTCTTTAAATATGGTTGATCTTCTTTTCCTTTGGTCATCACTTTTGATTTTGTTTTGTATTCTCTGTAAGTATTTTTCTAAATTCATCTATTTATCTTCACTTTGATTGGATTTTTCTTTACATCAAGTGAAAAACGTGTTAAATTTCTAAAATTTATAGTTTTTCTTTTGCTTATTTTGACTAAAATAGTTTTATTGCTTATTCTAGAAATTTGGGATATTATGGTTTTTCAAATTTCTTTCATATTTATGATTAATTTTTAATATTTATTTATGAATTCTAATTATAATTCAAGATGATCATTTGTTTAACTTGTATCCTTGATTATGAATCAAAGATCAATTTGGATTTAGGATTCTTCTTTCCTTGATTAAAATGATTTAAAGCTCTAAAGTTTTTTATGTTCTCAATGTTTCATTTTGTATCTTAAAATTTGATTATATAAAAGAATGAAATATAAATTTATAAACATTGATCATGTAGTTTTATTTATGGAGATTTCTTCCTTTTTCTCCTTGAATTGTGTTAAATATATTTTCAAGTTCTTTTATAGTTAAAAAATCACATTATCAATAAAATTAGGTAGTTCTTCTAATGAATTGGATTTTAAACTGTGGTTCATTATTATTGGTGTTTGAGTTTCATTAACGATTTAGTTTTTTTTCTTAAGATTCAGGGATTTGGACTCTAATAGATTTGTCAAGAAACAATTTATAATATCAACTATGGTTTCAAACACTCATGACTATGATCGGATTGTGGTATCTAAAGAGGTTACAACAACATCTTCCTCTAAAAACACATATGACTTGAACGAATATAATATTACAAAACCATCTTTCTCATTACTATATGATTTATCGAAGGTTTTATACATATGTTTTATCCATTTATGTTCATCATGGATGGAAGAATATCTTTCATTTCCATGAAAAATGAATCTAACTACGGGTTTATGTTTTTAGAATGAGGAACAAATGACATCGTATGTGCAGCCTGATGACGATAGTGTTGAAAATAAAGAAGTTGCAGAAGCTATATTCCTTGATGATAACAATGACTTGTCTCATATTGAGGGAGAAGTACGTAATGTTTTTTTTTAGATAGTTTGTTAGATATTAGCTTATGCATGTTACCAATATGATAGTATAACAAATAATAATTTTGCAGATAACTGTTTGTGATACATGTGGTATTCAAGGATTTGAAGATTTACTTGTGATATGTTGCAACTGCAAAGTTGGTGCTGAACATACGTAATATTTGTTGTCACTACATACATAATTTTTAACTATGCAATTAGATAGTAGAAACTTTTTTATATGAGTGTCTTTTATCATTTGTTTGTTATTGTAGTTATTGCATGATGAAAAAAATAGATAAGGTTCCCGATAATTGGTCTTGCTATGAATGCACTGAAGAGTTAGATGGAATGCGAGAAGAAAAGGGAAATGAAGAAACCAACTCTAGAAAAAGGAAAGCAGATGCTGTTATTGATTATTTTGAGGTAATCCACAAAAATAAAGTATTTATAAAAGAATTATTTTTCTAAAACATATCATAATTGGCGATTAAACAACAAAAACCACTAATAACTTTTTTCTTTTTGCAGGCATCAGAAAAAATATCATCTCAAAGACAAACTAATTTGTTGAATACACAAAGTAATCCTAAAATCGGAGATGTTAACTTGAACGTGGACCTTAACATAAAACTAGATGAAGTCCCTGGTATAGATATTAACAAAGTCCATGGCATAGATCTGAACATAGATCCTAACATGGAACTAGGTGAAGTTCCTGGTATAGATATGAACGAAATCCGTAACAAAGATCTGAATGTGCATCCCAACTGAATATGTCCATGTTTCATATCTTGAGACAGGATTTTCAAGTAACTTCCAAGCTCAATGTGCTAAGAAACCTCGAATGGATACAAAACTCCCTTTTTAAAATAACTTTGAAAAAAAAATTATTTTGTAATTTCTAATAAAAGAGAGCATAATATATAAAAAAATAAAGAGTTATTTTTGTTATTTTTAATTATTATTTTCTTAAAATGTGTTATAAAAAAATGTGTTATTTCTTTTGATAAAATATGTATTATTTCTTGTAATAAAATATGTGTGTTTCTTATTAGTTGAAGATTAAAATTCCTAACCTTTTTTATCCAAAAAATATTGATGTTTTGTTATAAAATGATTTTCAATGGTTTCCTTTTTTTGTCTGATATATATTTTCTAACAAAATGAATAAAAAATCTAATGGATATACATCATAAATACAAAATTGTTAGCACTATTCACCGAAGGTGAGGCTTTTTCGACAACACTCAATCTTTATTCTCGTTTGAGTCTAAATTATTTATTGTCTCCTTTCCCATTGCTGCTTGTTAAAATTGTGCAATCAAAATTAGTTGTAATTTTATAAGAAAAGGAATAAAAATTTATTTAAGAAATTAATTTAGTTCAAATTTATAAATTTTATAAAATATATAAGAATAATATTTTTTAATCAATTTGAGTAGAAAATGACATAAAATCGGATGTAAAAATTATTTGCACTATTGTTATGAAATAACAATAACAAACAAGATAAACTACAATAAAGAAAGAAAAAAAAGAACAACAACAGTAAGAACATTGATTAGATACCACACTGTCCACCAGGTCCACCGAAGGTGAGCATCTCTCCTTGGCCTATTTCAAACTTACGAAACCATACATCATAACACTTCGGACTATCCACATATTCCTCAAACTCATTCGAGTCAATATCTACTAGTCTTTTGTCCTCAAAACACTTAAGTTGTTTCATGAAACATGAAAACTTGTTTCGATATCCTACTTCTTTCGGAAAAGTCCCTGCCCCCATAGAAGGGCTGGTAGCTCCAGCTAGCCCTCCTGTATACCCGCCGAATAAAACTTGTGATGCTCCTTGCATCGAATAAATTTGATAAGGCCAATAGCCTATCAAGGTTGATCTCGTCATCAATAACCAGTTTTTTGTTCTGGAATCCTGTATAATTGGTCCATAGTTTTAATATATAATTTGCTAAATATTTAAATATAATTTTGTTACTTTATTTTTTCTTACCTGACCGACGAGAAGATGAGCAGTGGACTGTCTTTTGCCTAAAGTACTAACTTTATGGTAAACCATACCGGGGTAGATTGTTTTATGGACTTGGACATAGCCTCCTCGACATAAAGCGTTGTAGCATCCGTTTGGGTGTCTACTTGACTGTAATATATAGTTAATATACATTTGATTACTAACACATCAAAACCAAAGAAATTTGAAGTCATTAAGTTTGACATTTGAATAAAAATATAAAGTAAAAATCACTTACTATCCAGTATGTTGTTAACCTTGGACGATCATCTCGGTACAATCCTGTATGCACCTAAAAGAAGATCAATTGTGCGATAAATTTATAACTCGACATATGATGATTTTTATGAGCAGCTAGATTTTGTAGTATACTTACAGCCCAACCAAATTGGATGCTGCTTATTACATCTTTTTCTCTGTGATTTAGCCAAATCCAAGCTTTACTAAATTGATTTTCCAATACTCGTGGTTTGTAAATATTGAACACCGCTTGCGCTCCATCCCATCTCTTTGTGTAATTCTCAAATGGTCTAATAATTGCATACTAACCAAAATAATTTGCAATGTTATTAAAATTTTATAAATAAAAAGTCGCAAAATAAATCTTTTAATAAAATACTTTATTTTAACATCGTGGTTAAAATACTTACATGTAGATTGGCTTCTGTAATTATTTTCTTCGGCTGGCTAAAGTTATTAGTATAGTTAATTTGCGGTATGTGAATTGGTACTTGTCCTTTAGGACACCTTTCTTCAGATTCACCGGTGAACAAATCTGATGTTTCCGGCTCCGTCGATACCATGGCTTGAAACTCGACACTTGGTCTCATCTAGAATGAAGACAAACAATCACTTGAGAAATAATTTTGATATGAAATATCTCCATGGTTATGGTAACATGAAATTTGTGCATAAATAAACTCAACTTTCTAATGATCATGAACCCCCATACCTGGATTTGGTGATCCTTCATCAATGGATGTTGAAATGCAGGTTGCTTATAGATATCTACACATTCGTATTCTATTTCTTCCTGCGATAAACATTAGATATATGAGTCAAATTACAAACAAATAATGTATTAATTGACTATCAAAATTTTGTTTTTTTTTGCTACCTGAACTGTTTGAGCAATATGACAAGAAAAAAGATAGATGAAGAGATATAATAACCAGTACGAAGCCATAGATTATTGTTTTGATCCTAATCTGCTTTCCAAGACAACATCTTGTAGTATGTATTTAACCTTGAATTTTTTTTAGATAATTTCGAACTCTTAATGTTTTCTGGTCTTAAGTCAACGTAACGTACTGACTTATTTTACAGTAATTATTCCAAAAGAGACGTGATTGCCAACCGAAAGTCAAAACCTGCTGATTTTGTTCCTAATTTGTTTGTGTTTTCGATTGATAGACTTAATTAGCTTATATAGCTTCTAATTATTTGCAAAAAAACACGTAAACTATTGGATTTTGTGAATAAGATTTGCTAACTCGCCAATTTTTGTAATTTTATCCTTTATCTATAAAAATATAAATAAATTCTACGACGTACGAAGTTAGAAATAATACGCATTATAAGTCTTATACATATTTTCTAAACGTTTTCATGGTCGTTTACTGAACTTTTTATAATTGTAAATAGTAGATTAAACTCCTTATCACAAAAATTTAAATTTGACAGTAACAAAGACGGGTTATATTGCATTAAAATTAAACTAGGGGATTTAGACTACAAAACATAAGTTCAACATTTTTATATTAATAGAAAGAGATATATTTAATTACTACAAATCATACTCAGTTTTGATCGTACCCAAATTGATTCAATAATTTCATGGAGACATTGGAGACATAGAGCCAACCAACCAAAGAGAAACCAGTGCCTTTTCTTTTGTCAACAGTCATATTAAATTAGCTCAAATAAGCCAATGTTAGGAAAAGTTGTTTACATAGGTAATAAGATGCGGCTGGGTAATTGTAAGTGTAAGTGTACATGCAAATGTAACTATATTACAGAATAAGATTTCACAGACACACAAATCATAGCATTAAAAATATTTTTTCAAAGAGAAAGAGAGAGCTTTCTCAGAATAAGATTTCACATACACACAAATTTTTATACATTCCACTCAATCATAATGATTTAATAATAATGATTTGGTATTAACACAAAACTTTAGAATACAAAAAAAGTAAATTAAAACCAAACTTTTTTTTTTTTCCGTTTTTAGTATTTTCAGTTAATCCTAATATCACACACACTAGATCATCACCCGTACTTTTGAATTTTATTTATTACAAAATTTATATAATATATATATTAGAACTAAGTTTTAATATTATAATAGTAAGTGAAAAAATATTAATTTTTTTGTCAGTCCCTATATACAATATTAGAATAAATATAAAATTTTTTCTATAATACTCAATTATGAATAATTTGTTTTTTAAGATATGAAAACGGAAAATAATTTTATTTTTTAAAAAGTAATATTTTTTGAACAATGAGTTAATTTATGTTAACAACCACAAAATAAGATTGCATATATTTCAGTAAGATCAAAAATTAAAATATCATAAATAAATCGCATATAAAACATAGATTATTTTCAATTAATTAAGAAAATTAGGTATTATTTTGAATTAATTTAGAAAATTCTTTTTCAATTCATAATTTTTTGGTTGTTGAAATAGAGATTTGTTTGAGCTAATCTAACTACAGAATTTGTTTGAAATTTATAATTACGGAATTTACCAATTATTCGCATAATCGAATATGTTATAAACATATATTTAGTATATAATAATATCAAAATTAACCCGTGCATGAAGTCTATATTTTTATTTTAGAATCTCAATATTTCATTTTAAAATATTGCGTGCACAATCTATTATTTTTTAATTCTAAAATTGCTTGCGAAATCAAATTTTTAAATATTTAGAGGTGTCAAACCATATTTAAATGTTCTACACTATTTTTAAATGTTCCAAATTAAAATCTTTAATTTTTTTTTGTAGTTTAAAAAATTATGAATTTCAAAAAACAAATTGTATGAAATTAAATATAACTATTCAAATAGTTATAAGGATCAAAACTCATTTCATCATATAATATATTATATTTAACCCGCTACCTATTATAAATATTTTTAAAAATAATCAAATTAGAGTATTTATAATTTTTAACTTTTTGAACTATTAAGTATTTATGATATTCTCTAAAAATATCAAGTAAAACTTATTTTAAATGTTGCAAATTAAAATATTTAACTTTTTTATTGTAGTATATAAAATTATACATTTCAAAAAAATAAATGTATGAAATCGAATATAAATATTCAAATTCTGACCCGTTGCTCAGTCGGAATTTTTGTTGACTTTATTTTTGTGTAAAAAAAATATATTACTCAAGTCTGAATTTTTGACCCGTATAATTGTTTCCTTTATATTGAACAATTTATATGCGTTTTTAAAAATTCAACTCTTGGCATATGCAGAAAAAATTTACTTTTTTTTTATTATGTAGATGATATGATGATTTATTTGTTTCATATAAATATAATCATATAAAGATGAGAGGTGAAGTTTAATGATTAATAACAAATTAATATGGTAAGTTAGATATCAAATCTTATATGTTCGTTTTGATTGGTCATTTAAAAAAAAAATAATAACAGATTTTCGTTTTATAATTTAATTAAATTAATTAAATGACATAAATTAGTATTTTACTTGTACAGTAAAACCTCTATAAATTAATAATGTTGGGATTATGAAATTTTATTAATTTAGAAAGGTATTAATTTATCGATAAATTAATAATTATTAATTTATAGAGAGATTTAACTAATTTTTTAATTTCTTAAAAAATTTCTATCTAAAAATAAAATTTTTTTATATAAGCAATATCTTTTTAAAACCAATAACAAGTAGAAAAACAGTTATTAAGTTTAAAAGATAATACAAATTTTTTTCCGAATAATAGAGTCATATTTTACATATAATATTTTAAATATATATCATAGCAATTCATATATAACATATATAAATTTATATCATATATATATTAAGTTAAATATACATATATATATATATATATATATATATATATATATATATATTAGAGAAATTGTTAAAAATGCCCATTTTTCAATACCCCTTTTCAAAAATACCCCTTTTGAGAGTACATTTTTAAGTTTGCCCTCTTTTAGTTTTTAATGACCATTTTACCCTTATTTGAAATAAAATTAGGTCCACAAAATACAAAATATTTTTTGGCGGGAAAAGTGATCCCGCAATTTTCCCGCCAAAACACTTGTAAAAACCTTTAAAATACCTTGTAAAATTTTCCCGTAAAAATTATTCCCGCCAAAAAATTTTCCCGCCAAAAATTTTTTTTTGCGGGAAAAGTTATTCCGCAATTTTTTTGGCGAACTTTTTTTTGCGGGAAAATTTTTAGCGGGAAAAATTTACAAGGTATTTTAAAGGTTTTACAGAGTATTTACAAGTGTTTTGTAAGGTTTTACAATGTATTTTAAAAGGTTTTACAAGGTATTTATAAGGTTTTATAAGGTATTTATAACTTGTAAAACCTTATAAAAAACTTGTAAAACCTTATAACTTGTAAAACCTTATAAAATAGCTTGTAAAATCTTATAATATCTTATAAATACGTTGTAAAACCTTTTAAAATACATTGTAAAACCTTATAAATACCCTGTAAAAAACCTTTAAAATATCTTGTAAATTTTTCCCGCTAAAAATTTTCCGCCAAAAATTTAACGCCAAAAAAATTGCGGAATCACTTTTCCTGCAAAAAAAAATTTTTGGCGGGAAATTTTTTTGGCGGGAAAAAATTTTACGGGAAAATTTTACAAGGTATTTTAAAGGTTTTACAAGTTTTTACAAGTGTTTTGGCGGGAAAAATTGCGGGATCACTTTTCCCGCCAAAAATATTTTGTATTTTGTGGACCTAATTTTGTTATATTTCCTTATATATTTTTGATATCTTTTATTAAAAGAAGGGTAATTTAGTCATTTTGTACATAAAAAGGGGTATTTTTAAAAATGGACAGCCAAAGAGGGCATTTTTGAAAAGGGGTATTGAAAAAGGGGCATTTTTGTGAGTCTCCCTATATATTAATAAGTTTATACAATTATTAATTTATGATATAGATGGGACCATATGTTTACATGAGATTTTCAAAAAAATTATTATCTTATTAATTTATCGATTTATGTCATTTTTTACATTGGTCCCAACTCGGGACCGGAAAAATTTATTAATTTAGAGAAGTTATTAATTTATAGAGTATTAATATATAGAGGTTTTATTTTATATCCTTAATAAATTGAATGAAATTTGTTCTAAAAGAAGATTTTTGTAATGGCATTCTTAAGTAAATTCTTACAAAAAGGAAGGTTAGTTAAATGTATCTTATAAAGTGTACTCCCCAAATAATAATATAGGATTTTTGTAGATCGAGCACTACTAGCAAGCCAAAAAACATTATCTTATTTAAAATAAAGGAAGAATTTTTTAAGTAAATATTTCTAAAATATACTATTTCTGTTTCACTTTAACTGATGTTTTAGAGTGAAAATGATAAAATGATTGTAAGTGTTTATTCATATTTGATTTTGTATTTAAGTAATGTAGCAACAAAACATGTTTAATATATTGTTGATATAGAGTACAAATAATAGGTAATGTAATTTATTAGTTTGCAATAAAAAAAATATAAATAAATTATTAAAATAATAAAAAAATGTTTAAACAAAACTAATGGCATAATTTACTTTTGAAAGCCTTAATAGTATCGACAAAGATCGTCGTTCCTTTGGTTAACTATTCTTTGGTTTATCTCTGTTTCTATTGGATTGTTTAGTTATCGTTTCCGTTTTCGAACTGCAACTTTGTATCTCTTTATCTCTCGTATCAATTTATCTCAGTGGAAAAAAAAAACAAAACTAATGGCATAATTTACTTTTGAAAGCCTTAATAGTTTAGGCAAAAAATAAGATTTTCTAATGCATACTGTAAATATAATCAAATTAAAGGTTTTTCTCCAAAAATGTAATTTGCTACAACATTTATTTGATTTACTATTTTATTTCAATTTATATTTCTCTTACCAATATTTAATTTCGGATTTCGTTTTCCAACATTTAATAGTTTAACTATCAAGTACCACCTTAAGTTGTTTTCACAAATAAGGTTTTCGAGTTAGTATCAACTTTCTAAGCAATAGAGGGGACATTATATACTTGACTGGCTTCATATATATATATATATATATATATATATATATATATATGTGTATGTGTGGTAATTTTTTAAAAATACATCAAATATATCAAAAATAAATTATTAATTAGCTTTATATGTTATGAAAAAAACAGCAATAAAGTTATGATAAAAAAAAAAAAAGAAGAAGCAAAAATTTAGAGATCATATTCTCTACCATGTCCTCCAAAGGTGAGGATCTCTCCATTACCAGTTTCAAACTTACGAAATTATTACATCATACTCTCTATGTCCCAAAATATAAAAACTTTTAGACAAAGCACGAAGATTCAAGTAATAATTAATTGAAAATACAATTCAACCAATCAGAAAAGACTGTAGAATTTAAAGAGCCAAAAATATGAAATAACATTGTACATAGAGATTTGTGAAACATCTTATAAACTGAAACAAAGAATATTTTTAAACATTCTATATTATGGGATCCACTACATACAACTCTTCAAGCACTTTCGAGTTAATATCAACAAATGTATTATCTTTGTAAATTTGTAATCCTTCATTTCTTTCATTGAACACGACTCGGTTTCTCTAGTTGTCTTGGAAATGTACCGAACCCCATTTGAAGACTAGTAGATCCAGGTAATTCCCCTGTATATCTACCAAAGTAAACTTTTGTTACTTCTTCCACTGAATAAATTTCATAGGCCCAATAGCCTATTACCTTGGATCTTGTCATTAATGGCCATTTTTTGGTTAGTGAATCATGCTTATTTTTCAAGCCATCTGACCTCGAAGCTGCTCTCTTCTCAGCCTTTACGTTGAATGACTCAAACTATGATTTCTTTAGCTTAAGTGAAGTGCGTTTAGCTTTCACTCATTTTCGGCTTAAATTTTCGGAAGTCTAAACATACAATCTCTTTACAACATGTACAGACGTTTTCGACGGTTTCTACAAATATGTAAAATATGTCAAGGTCTCTTACAAAACTTTCTGTAAGTTAACGTCCGCAACTTATGTTCTTTTGCATAGCACCAATAATCCTTCCGTGGAGGCTGTCACTAGCTAAAACGAGCTCGTCCGGAGAAAACACAACATATATAATGTAAATTTATTACCAGTTTCTTCAGTGTGTAAGTGCTTATAATTTAAATGACAAGATGCTGCGTAATCAAGATTTAAAATAAATTTGTGCCCAAAAAATCATGTCCAACAGTTACGATCTTGGAGCTTTTGTAGTAAATTTATATATTAAGGTCTCTTTCGGATGATTCCTTCCACCGTTTTTTTTTTTTTTAATTAACTCGGGTGATTAGAGAGGTTTTCTACGCCCAAAGACTAATTCAGGGGCCCGGAAAAATCATGTTAAATTGTTCGAACCCTAGTGGCCAATGCTACTCGAACCCATGTGACGAGAATTACCTCTCTTTACCACTGGACCAAGGCGACTTGGTTCCTTCCACCGTTTCTCTCCCAAACTTTCCTCAAAAACAGTATTTTTTAGAACAGGTGAGACTCAAGTCCAAAAAAAGTTGATCTTTATCTCACCATTGTAAGATTTCCTCTTAAAATATTACTGTTTTAAATAATTGCAACTCCTTTGCATTTATTTTTTTTACTTAAAAAATCCTTTCTATTTTCTCGTTACAAATTGTAGATTTGTCAAAGATTCATTCAATTTATCACTAAATATAATACCCGACCGAAATGATATCTAAAAAAATAATGAAAAAGTGACTATATTTATGTAAAGAGCATAAAAAAACATTTAAACAAAACTTATAAAAATCTGAATTGTTATTGATAATTTCAAATGACCAAAGAAAAAATCACAACAATTTTCATCTCTAGGATTTCATTATTTTTTCACCAAATACATGAACCCTACGAATACGAGTTCTTAAAACAATTAAACAAAATCACCACACTCTTGTAAAAAAAAAATCAAAAAAAAGAAACTTATACGAAAATAAGACTTAATTCCCTTATTTCCAAATCCGAATAAGTAACCAATAGTACATAACAGAAACTCCACGTCAACTTTCTTTTTAAAAATCAATAGATTCTATTTTTTGCACTCTCACGTATATTTCTCACTTTACCCTTACTAATTTAATATAATTCCAATTTTACCCTCATCTTCCCTCTAAAATCCAATCTCTCTCTCTCACACTCTGAGATTTCAACGATAAATAAAAAGAGGGAGAGAGAGAGTCTAAGCTCGTCGTCGTCTTCAATGGTGAATCTCAAACCAATTGGATAAAACCATAAAACAAACAAAAATCCCCCAAAAAAAAAAAAACTTCACTAATAAAGTCAAATCACCACCACCATGCCTTCCGAGTTAACACCAGAAGAACGATCGGAACTAAAACAATCAATCGGCGAGTTCCACACATACCAACTCGGTCCAGGAAGCTGTTCTTCACTCCACGCGCAACGAATCCACGCGCCGCCGGAACTCGTCTGGTCAATCGTCAGACGATTTGACAAACCACAAACATACAAACACTTCATCAAATCCTGCTCCGTCGAACAAAACTTCCAGATGCGCGTCGGATGCACGCGCGACGTGATCGTCATCAGTGGATTACCGGCCAACACATCAACGGAAAGACTCGATATACTCGACGACGAACGGAGAGTTACCGGATTTAGTATCATCGGAGGCGAACATAGGCTGACGAATTACAAATCTGTCACGACGGTGCATAGGTTCGAGAAAGAGAATCGGATCTGGACGGTGGTTTTGGAATCGTACGTCGTTGATATGCCGGAAGGTAACTCGGAGGATGATACACGTATGTTTGCTGATACGGTGGTGAAGCTTAATTTGCAGAAACTCGCGACGGTTGCTGAAGCTATGGCTCGTAACTCCGGTGACGGAAGTGGTTCTCAGGTGACGTGAAAACAAAAACGACGAAAAAATTGATAAAATGATTTATTTTTCTTTTTTTAAAAAAATTCAGAAATGTTGCTTCATATAAGATTCTCTTCTTTGTCTGTTTTTTTTTTTAACTTCATATAGTCATATTTTACCATTTTCATATGTTGAGAATGACATAAATGTCCTTACGTTCAAGGTTATTTTGGGCATTAACGTTTGTGGATAACTATGAATCTTTCCATTTTCGTTAGGTATATTCCGCGAGTAAGTCAAAATTTTCGGCTATGCAACAAACTCTCATAAAAAGTTAAAAAACCTTACTATAAAAGTTACTAAAGAATTCATAAAAGTGTTTGACACAAAAATAAATTATCGTGAAAGGTTTTACTTTTCTTTTTCTTTTGTTAAAAAAGTATGGGGATAAGATTATTTTCACGTGTTTTTTGCTGTTATTGCTTTAAGTATGGTAGATTTTTTTTTTTTTTTTTTTTTTTTTTTTTTTTTTTTTTTTTTTTTTTTTAAAGAAGGGAAAATTTAGGGGGGGACCCGAAAAAAATTGAAATTACTTTTCAAAAATTTCCCTTTTCTTTTATCGATTACTTTTGCAAAAGGGCCAAAAAAAAAATTTTTTTTTTCCTACCATGAACAACAATCACAATTTTCGTGGGATTTATTTTTATTTTTTTTTTTCTTTTAACACCAATGGGATTCTTATTTGATTTTATTAAATTGTGAACAAAGTTTTTCTCAAAAAATGAGTTGTAAAAAGATAAACAAATTATGAAGGAATAGATAGAAAAGACGAAAGAACCCATAAGTGGTAGTGTTTAAAAGAAGAAGATTTTAAAAGTGTGTGCCGTTTTCATTCAGATTCGGGTCTCCTTTTGCACAATAGTCAGGCTAGTGTCCCACTTGAATATATTGTTATAAAATTTGATGTGGGCGATCCATTATTATTGTGGGAGTACTTTAACAATTTACTCTCAGTTATTTAATAAATGATGTTTTAAGTTTATAATTTTATTTTTAAATAGATGATATTTTCAGTTTTCGATGCAAAACTAATTATTTTTTATTAGTTTTGACAAATTATTTTCTGTAAATTATTTTTTTATTCGTTGATTAGATTATAAATAATGTTGTAGTTTAGAAATTAAATAAAAATTAAATGATTTTTTAATCGAATTTTTGCTGGATCGAGACAATAGCAAAAGGCCATTTATTTTGTAATTTAAAAAAAAAAAATTAAAAAAATTCCTATTTGCAAACTTGAAAAATGAAGATCTTCTAATTAAGGCAAAGGTGATGATGATGTTGGTGCAAGTTGTGCCAGCTTGGTTAAATATTGCAAGTTGCCAACTTGGTTATTAAACGCCGAACATAAAGGTTAGATTAAAAATTATTTTATTTGCGCATAAAGTGGAAAATGAGGAATACTACAACTATAAAGAAAAATAAAATAGCATGTACTTGAAGTCTTGAAGTTGATGATGGATGGTTGAGCCAATTAGAAGATCGATATTTTGAGCATCCTCACCTACTTTATTCATTATCATCGTTAACGTCAAATCTTTCTTTCATTTCTTTAGTCACGACAACGCGATCCAAATCTGAAAAATATTATATATCGAATTATACGTTGAAATAATGAGTTTATGGGAAGTTTAATGGTTTATTATATTATCTGATAATTCATATGGTAACTGCGTTTTGCGGTGCGGGAGAAGTGCGGTATTACATTGCGGTACGGTTCAACTGCGGGACGTGCGAGAGAAATATATTTGCGGGACAAGTGCGGTTTGTATAAAATAAGCGGTACGAAATAAAATTTGATTGGTGAAAAAAGCTATTTGCGGGACAAATGCGGTTTTATATATATATATATATATATATATATTAATAATTAATTTTTTTGTTAATAAATAAACAATAACATAAATTTATAAATCATTAGTAATACACAAATTGATCAAAATATAAATTTAATTTTTTGTTTTAAAATTTAAACCATATATTATAAATCAATATGTTAATATCACAGTATGAAATATAGTAGATCATTTAGTAAGTATATTATTTACACTAAAATTATTTAACAAAAAATAATTTAAATATTTATTATATAATTAATATGAAATCATTTAACCATATTTTTAATAAAAATGACTATAGTTTCTTTATATTTCTATAAATCTGTTTTTTTCCTTAGTAAAACTGATTATTTTATAGTTTATGAAAAATAGTGAAGTAAGTTAAAAAAAAATTCTAAAAAAGACATGTTTAAAAAGTTATGCATTATTAAGAGTTTTTTTGTTAAAAACTTAAAATATGTGGTGGTTATTAACTCCCATTTATTCTGAAAAAAAAAATTAACTCCCATTTACTAATTATTCTATAAATTAATAAGCTTTCTCATTATGTTCTCTGTATCAAACTTACACGTGACCACCATTTTGGTTATTTTGCTTTTTGTACTACCTATTTACAAATTAGTGACTATTTCAGTTGTTAAAAAAAATAAAAAAAATAAAGAGATTAATATTTCGTTTTATCTACTGCGGAATTTGTAAAACCACTGGGTAATTGGTTGTTGGACAACACTACTGCGCTCCAAGTGTTAAAACCTTGTTTTGAAAACCGTGAACAGATTTTTCTTTCTTTTTAAAAAACCACAGATTACCTAAAAAGATAAGTGATTGGTGACAAAAGACGTTTTTCAAAAACCACACTTGAATTCCACACCTCTCCTTGTCACCATTCAGGGCCTAGGTATATCGAATTGGACTTTTCTCTAGAGATAATTTGCCAAATAGTGGTAGAAAATGTAGAATAGCCAATAACAAAATTTGGTGTAATTGTAGAAAAGAAATAAATAACAAGTATTTTACTCATCTAATGAAATAACGATTCAATAAACCAAGCGAGGCAAAGACAACAAACCAAGCGAGGAAACTCGCTCGAGTCTTCAAAGACATCTTTATCGCAAAACCTTATAAAACCTTTTGACGCTCAATCAGGGTTGATCCGAAAAAAGTTAAATGCAAACACATTAGATGTTACGCAATGTCTGTGTCAAAAAAGTGTTTTATTTTATGTTTTTTTCTGTTATATCATATCATTTTGGAGATAAGTTCAGATTTAGATAAATGATTTTCGACTTATATTCATAAGAAAGTTATAACCTGAGGTTTGGATACCGAGTATTCAATTTATATGGTGTTTGGCTTATTAACATGTTGGCTTTTTCGCATGAATAATGCGTAGTAGGTTTCGCTTGGCAATGAAAATTTTTGATTGACGCTATTCGCTAACTCTCGTGGTAAACCTGAAAATGAAATTGTACATTCAAGTATATATATAACTGAATCATATCGTTTTAAATAATGACTAGCCTTGTTATAAACTATTTTTTTCGACAGCCCATGCCACATGCTACTTCATTACACATGAATAAATTACATAATGGTTCCAGCTTTTGTTGGGCTTTTTGTTTTAGTTTTTGGGTTTTAGGTTTTAGAAAATCCAAAATATAATTATTATATTTTTGGTAACAAACTTAAGACAAAAATCGAACTTATGTAAAAGATAAATCTCAAAATAAAATTACGTGGATTTTATATCTTAAATAACTTAAAATTATAAACAAATTCTTGTCATTCTAAAAAAAAAATATACAAAATGAAGGGTGATGGATCAGTTCAAAAAATTCCAAATCCGCACACACTTTGGAGCATCAAATAAAGTACTAGTATTATTGACACAGACAACCATGCAACAAGATTATACTATTGGTAAGAAAAATTTAGCAAACCAAGGGGGATATTCGATATAGCCTTGAAAACTTTATAATACTCCATTAGAATGTATGCGTATTATTATGGCAGAATAACTCTGTCAATTATTTTCCACTAAACAATGTGTTAATTTAGTCCACATCAATAAATCCAACATTCATAAATTTTCTTTAATATCTTCATAAAGTAATTACAGTATAATAAGCTTTATAAATCTCAAAAACACGCAAATTGTTGAACTTACAACAACGTTTTAGGATTCATTTTGATGGTGTTTGATCCAGAAAACGATTATCAAACAAAGTATAGTGGCTATTACATGTACAAACAATACATGTCTCCTTGTCTTTATTTGGCAATAATGTGCCCTGTTATTTTAAAGGGCATGCTTTCTTCTTCTCAATCACACGTTCTCTTCGCACTGTCACTCACATTTTCGAGGAGATTGATGCTAAAAAGTTTGGAAACAAACACAATAATATATGCAGCAGAAAATCACTTTAATTAATCGACCACACATGTCTCCACTATATATTTCTTTTGTATGACTTTAGCTTTTTCTTCAAGATCCATAACCACGCTTTCCCTCCCCACAACCTTTTAAGACCTCTTATATTCATATTCCCTTTTTTACATTTTCATTTCACAATTTTTGACCTTATGATAAGAATTGGGTTTTGATACGTAATTGGTCCTATCCTAGTGGTTTCACTTCTTCTGTCAATATCAAGAAATCCATTTAGCATTTGAAAGTTTTGAATCATGATTTATGCCACTAACTTATTCTGAAGTTTAATTATGGTTAACGAGGAACATTATGATTCTGTGATTGTGTCATAATACTTTTGGGCGTCATGTAACAATTTTGAACTTGTAAAATATGTTTTGACAGCAAAATAGTTATATTAGCTTATTTTGTTTCCATTGGATAAATTAAGAAACCGCATGGTTATATATATGAATCCATGTGAATTCGGTTGGAAAATCACATCTCAATTATATGTACATCATGTAATTCCAAAGAATATTTAGAACAATAATGATCGTGTTACATCTACATTAATTTTGAGGTCCCACATTGGAACCTCTAAATAGATGTGATTGATTTAAATAATCACTATTGAAAACAAAAATGAGTTCGGTACATTCGTTCATAGCCAATTAGATGCCTCTTTTGATGCCAACTTCCCAATGACTTGTCCCACATGATGAACACAAAAACTCACTTGGTAAGTGAAATACTCAAACTTTTACTGAAAGACAACAAAAAAACTCAAACTTCAGTCCCATTTGTTTTATTTCTAACAAATTAAAGCCTTATTTACATACAAATACGAAAATTCATACACCAACACCAAACACATTTATTCATGAAACCACAAACCCCAACCTAATCATATACTACACTAAGAATCCTCTCTAACAAGCATTCAATAGCAAC